CTTACCCTCTCCTTCGAATCCTATCTCGTTCTCACACAAAACTCATTCTCTTACTTAACAAACTAAATTAAATTCCGGGGTTTGGACAAAACACTATGTTCTTTTAAATACAAGTAAATTGAAGTGCTCTCTATATTTGTATGCAATTAGAAACATATATTGACTGTCTAGTTTTTAAGATAATTGCAATTAAAATGTACAATTTTAACATGTGATGCATATACGCAACTCAAGTTAACGTCAGATTTTTAATTATAGCATTTATACCATTTTTAGGATTGTTATAAAAAACGAGTAAGATATAGATCAAGAGTATATAAATGTTATAAAAAAGTTTCAAAATTGTAGACCGTTTAGTTAAAACAATGTAATTAAACAAAGTATGTAACATACGCACTGTTCAACGCGTAAATAGCTTGTGGTTATAAAGATGTGGCAAATAACACATCGAGTCTTTTTCCCTTTCTTTGCTTGAGACATTGCCGAAATTGCTTTTAATCTTTTCCTAAGAGTTTTCTCTTTAATAAATTAACTTTTATGTCTCATTTGAGAAGTCATATTTTTATTATCTTAGCGTATGTATAATATCATGTACAAGAACAAGAGTCTTAGAGTGTGTAGGTTACACCCGCAACCAAAAGTTTATTCCAGCAAGCCAAAATAATTGATCGTTTACTTTTTAATTATTACTAAACATTGTGGTGATATATTTTATTAATAAGATGTTAATTTATTAAATTTTAAAGTGTATTTAATATATTATAACTATATACATGTTGAAACTTTCTTTTCACTAATATAAGACTCCAGTTTTTTAATGGGACTGTCGCGCTAGTATTACCTTAAGAATTACACGTATTTGACAACGATCGACGATACCTGTCGGAAATAATGCCGGAAGACTTAGCGGTCTCTTCTATCCAATTGCTCGTTCTTGGGAATCATAGCGGATGTATCTCGCGGTGCTTGCGCAGCAGCTTTTGTTTGCTTCAACCGCGCGGTCGGACATTTATTTATTTGCCGAACCTCTCCGGAAAATGCTACGAAGAAGACTACGCACGTCCAGCGAGTAAGTAATTGAGATTGGAATGCAAGCTGATAGTTCTCCAATATTTTTTATTTTTCTCAAATTAAAATTGTTAAAATAACTCTTTAAAGCTACAAGCTGCATTGAAAATATATACGATAGGTATACATTTTAGCTTGACTATCTCGCGCGAGAGTTTTACGCAAAGTAAAGAGAGCGAGTGCTCGATGTCTGACTACATTGTATCATTATCTACTCGTCGTGTACTAGTCTTTGTGCGTAGAAGAGCGAATATTTCACATTTTACAATTAAAATGATGTCCGCTGATTAAAACGATAATTATCAATTCTCTTCGTTAGATTATCGAAACAATAAGATTATTATAGCAGACATAAAATTATTACAGTTATCAAACACTTTGACTATCACGTCTTTCATATTTGAGTGACGCATAAAATTATTCGCAAAGGAAAAAATTCCCATTATTCATTTTATTTACTCGATTCTGAATAATTTTATTAAGTATTTAAAACATTAAAAAAACATTATAAATTAAATTAAAATATTAATAAAGCAATATTGAAACTACACTAGATTTATTAAACTTAATGCCGAAATCTACTTGGCAGTGAAAGTGTTAAAATGCAAACAAGGATGCATGCAAAAGATTGCATGAAATCTTCAAAGCGCGATATTTCTCTCATACCATTCAATCAAATTGATCTTGACAAAGATGGCGCTTGATATCACGACAGTTTAAATAACGCTTGTTTTGATAGGCAACGCTATCGCTGTAAAACCGATCGTTCAGATTATACGTTCTTGATAAAGTCGCACGCGACATCGGATGGGCGACTAAACGCGCGGCGGTCACTCGTACATAAAGTCTACGGATCTCTCGTGTACCGCAAACAGATCGGGATAGCTACGTTTGCAATCCCGTTCTTTCGAAATGTCGCGCGAACGAAATTGGCCGATTGGCTTCTGAATCGCGTCGATCTCCACCGGGTCCGCGCCTGGGACACACTGATAAATCGGATTCTCCCTGCTACTGATAAATCAGCTCGTGCACGACGATAAATTCGCGGTGGATCGACGTATCGCGAGTAAATATCGCGTGATCGTGTCCAATTAATAACCGTGCACCCGAGATTCTTTGAAGTGGATACCATGTGTTTTAATGACGACAAATATGGAATATTGTGCATCTTCTTTTTCTGAATTACTTACAATTAGATTGTACGTCATGCCGAAATTTACATTCACTTTTTTGAACTGTGTAAAAAATATATAATTTTGTATAGTTTAATCATAATAATATAAAACTCCCGTATAGCATAATAAAATAGTAGATAATAATCTTCTAACAATAAGTGTTGACTCCATGTAAAACATTAAATACATGTTATGTTTGCTTTATTATAGACATTTAAATTTAAAATAATGGTTTTCGTTTGAATTTTTCAATTTAAATTGCAGCTATATTAGACGTAATGTTTATTTTAAAAATGTACAAAGGTAGATGAATTATCAATAAAAAAATTAATTTTACAAACATTTAAAACATATTTTAATTATGTCAGTATTTAAAACATAAATAATCCATAATATGTTTTTTTGGATAAGCTATAATAAAAGTTTACATAAATCTTTTAATTTTATTCAATTCTGAAATGTTAAATTTCAAACAAACAAGCGTTACTGCCGAGTTCGACCGCCATTATTAAGCGAGGCCCTATTGTCGTACAACAATTCTATCACAAAGAATACAATGGCTCTCATTTGAGAAAGAAATCGATGGGTGTGGAAATTTATGCCAAAGCTTCTCCTCGTAAGCGATTATCCCGTTGAGTCACGATCGCAAATAGCGATTCGACAAGGGATACACCAACAGCGATTCTCTCTTTTTTTTTCATTTGGTGGTACGACCTCTCTGATAAAAGACCTTGGCCTTATAGGAAGTTGAGGAGGTTGTCCGACAGGACGAAAAGGCGAAAGGCGGTGAACCGAGCAGGAAGAAAAAGATCGGCACAAGAAGAGAGGAAAGATGAGCCGCGGCCGACCCACGACTTTTGACTCTGCTCGAAGCCACCTGGCACAACCGGATATAAAAATTCTCACCGGCGAGAGGGCTTTTGAGTAGTTAAGTAAAAGGCAACCTATAATTAACGAATTCGCGATATACGTACGCGCAAGCAAACGAACGTACTACCTCTGCGATGAAACCGTATTGCCTGTTACCACAATTTAATTCGAAACTTTTTTTCTCTGTCTCTTATTTTTCTTCTCCCTCTTTTTCTCTCTGTTACTCTCTTGGGACGCTTGTGCAAAATATAATATTTTCGCCCTCAATTAAAATATTTCAGTATTAAATATGTATGATAAATGTTGTACTTAATTTATGAAATAATATGTAACGATTAAATACATGAAATGTTTGAGTAATATTAGTAAAATAATAATTAAAATTTAATGCTAATAATGATTTGCTTTTTTAATAAATATTATTTTTAATATTCTAATAATTATATTTATGAAAATATATTATAAAAGAGTGAATTACTCTGACAATGGCTTACAATTCATCTGGTTGGCGGTAAAAATTTCTTTTGCAAAGAATTCCTTTATAGAACTACATTAAAGATATTTTAGAATTTGATATAGATATTGCTGACTTTGTTGATTTACCGCTTCCATTTTGAAAGCTTTAATTATATTACAAATAATCTATAAGGTACATAAATTAACTTTTAAAACATTTACTTTGTATTTGCTTTTTGTTAACTATATTCAAATGATAAAAATCTATTATTAAATAATAGTTCGGAATATATATTTAGTGAAATTTAGTGAAATTTAAAAATAATTGTAATTTGTATCCACAATTAATAAATTAAAAGTAGTGTATTTCTTCTTCTTGAGAAAGTTTGAAAAATACATTTCTATAATAGAGCTAAGAGCTTAACTTATGTGTCAACGCGAGAACAATTCCTATTAGCATCAATCAGTCCTAGGGACAAAGGAAGTAAACATTCGTTCAAGCGATAGACTAAAATTTGCCGCAGAATACATCCGTCTCTACAACGAAACATGGAAATAAGCACGCGGCAGTGACAAATTGTTCGTCGCCAGAACGGCGAGATGAGGCAACCTTAATCAAAACAGATGTGCACGCAAGACGAATTTCAAAGATAACGGAAGCAGGATGTATCGCTTCGAGCTATAAGCGGGACAGGTGCTACTAAAAGAGATTAACAAAAGAATCAATTCAGAAGATCTTAATTTATTGCTTATATCTATATATGAATTTTCTAATATAATCATCGTTTATCTTATTAATATAATAAAATATGATAAAAAATATAAATTACTTTTAAATTATATATTATTTATGTTGTCTCTTATCTATAAAAAGAATGGCTGTATCTAAAAAGTATCTAAAAATTTAGCTACATACAAATTTGAAAATAGTTTTATTAGACAACACAATAATTATATAGAATGTTTAAGTATGATAATCAAGTGGTAAAACGTTTTGACATTCTAGCAACTAGCTTGAGTGTTCTACATAATTATTTGGCAACTCAACAAAATTATTTTTAGATTATTATCTAGTTAAATTTTTAGACACTTTAGCGCAAAATTGTTCCTTCTGTATAAAAAGTAAAATATTATATAATTTGAAAAACCACAAAATTAATTAAATTTTCATCCTCTCCCCCTCTATTTTCGTAACTTTCATTAAATCTTTTTCAATTATTCTGAGAGAAATTTTTTAGTTATTTGATTTTAATAATTAATTTCAGCTTAGAGCAACAAAATACGTAGTCGAGAATCAGAGGTCAAATTTAGATAAAAGTTCAGATAGAAATATTGTTTCATAAAAATATGGATTAATAACAAATCATGAAATTTATCTCGTGTTATTATCATTATTTTGATTATTATTATCATGTGATTCACTGAAATCACCTGCATCTTTGCTGCGATCTGTGATGAGACACCACTCCGACGTTTTTCTTGTTTCATTGACTGGAGAAACGGAAGAGATTGCTAATGGATCATCAGATCTGGATCGAATACTGGGCATTTTTCTACACCTGAGGTGAAACCGAGACGTATCATATACATATGCGGAACAATATTGGAACAATTCGTTTGGAGAATTAAAAAAGATGTGCATCCACTGGCGCCGAGCATACGTACAAAAATATATATTGAATTTATATTTCTTTATACATTCATTACAGTTATAGAAATTGTATATTACTGCTATTTTGAATATCTACTTAAATCTTTAAATAATTGCAATATGGTGAAAATTAAATTACTTACATGACGTTTGAATTAATTAATTAATTGACTAAACTAATAGAAATAATTTTCAGTTATATTTTTCCATTGTCAACTACAATATAATATTATTAACACTTTTTTAATCTTGGAAATATAGTTTGAAAATATAGTATGTCACATATTTAACAAATAAATGTTGTGTCTTGAAGAGACATGGATTTTCGGATCTATATATAGTTATATTTGACAATGAGTAATTCGTAAGCTTACTTAACAAATAGATACTATTATAGACTGATCAATAGCCATAAAATATTAAAGCTTATGTTCATGTGGTTAACGAACGCCTTAACGCATAATCCAAGCCGCGTGCAAAATGGGAGTTGCTGCTATTTACAGTCGTACGTTCGCAATATACGCTCGTGCATATGGAGAAATATTTTATAACGTTCATATTGTCACGATAAATACGAACGCTCGCGATGCAAGCAGTTCTAAGCGATTATTTTACCACTTCTGTTTGATTAATTGTTGTTCAATTGAGTATTATAACGTATATAAATTGTTAATATAATTTGAAATAAATGAGATATTTATAAATAAATAAATAAGTAAATTATATTAAATTTTACTATATTTCTGTGTAGCATAATAAAACTTATGTATATATATATATATATATATATTTATACACTGCTCAAAAAAATTATGGCATAGAAAAATTTTGAGCAAAAATTGGTCAACTTTAGTTAACGGTAACTCCGCGAAAAATTATTGTAAAATGATGAACTTTTTTCCAAATGAAAGCTTGAAATCTCTACTTTAAGATACTGTGAGTCGATTTTCAATTTAATG